GATCCCAACCATAGGATTCAAATTCCTTAGTTTCCAAATTTCTTATCTTAATCTGACGCAATAACATCGCGTTGGCTCTTTAGTCGAGATAAATACGATGATTAAAAATTGGAGAGCCGACTTAAAAATATATTCTTATTATTTTTATATTTTAAATTTTTCGATTTTCTATTTTCTATATTTTTTAATTTTTTTATTTTTATTTTTTTCATTTTTAATTTTACACACACCCACACACACAAATGTAAATTTACACATATTTTATAGATTAAAAAAAATTATTATCAAATGAGTGTATTTATTTTAGATTAAAATGTCCTCCTTATCTCTTGTTCCCTTTTAAATATTAGTGAAAATAATAAAGAAATTATTAAAAATTATTTTAAAAGCTCTCTTTTTTTCTCTCTCTCTCTTTCACATCTTCTCTCTCGCGCTCGCATTTTATTTCGCCGTCTCTCTCAAAACTCGTATGTCTCTTTTTCTCTTCTCGCGTACGTCTCTCTCTCCTTCACATCTTCTCTCCGCGCTCGCATCTTATTTCGCCGTCTCTCTCAAAACCGTATGTCTTCTTTTTCTCTCTCTCGCGTACGTCTCTCGCTGCAGCCCGTCTTCTTCTCGCGCTCGCATCTTATTTCGCCGTCTCTCTCAAAACTCGTATGTCTCTTTTTCTCTCTCTCGCGTACCTCTCGCTGCAGCCCGTCTTCTTCTCTCTCTCGCGTCTTAATTCGCCGTCTCTTTTAAAACTCGTATGTCTCTTTTTCTCTCTCTCTCGCGTACTTTCTCGCTGCAGCCCGTCTTCTTTCTCTCTCTCGCGTCTTAATTCGCCGTCTCTCTCTCGCCGCAGCCCGAGCCGAATCTCTCTCGCCGCGAGCCGTCGAATCTCTCTCTCTCGCCGCGAGCCGCCACATCCGATTTCTCTCTGCGCGCTGTCTCTTTTTTTTCTAGTGGTTGCTCTCTCGCAAAGTATATAACGGGTGGCACGCAAATAAAGTAAACCATGATATACATATACATATTATTTGTCTTATATTTAATACATAATTATATATAAAGTTATTACATATTAAAAACTAAAGCCACCAGCTCGCAATCGACAAGTTGGTGCATGTCGAAGGCGTTGCTAGCGCGTATCGCATTCGGCAATTCTCTCGCATTCGTTACAGTGGATGCAATATTGGAGAATTGCGTATGTTTGATATCGACCGTTGCGATGAGCCTCGTCAATCGATCGAACATTATTTCGATGCATGAATCGAGCTCGAACATACGACGTAACGTCGATTCGACCATCATCATGCGCACGTCCGCCGATTCGAGACTTATGAGCTTGGTGTCGTTTATCTTGTGAAAACGTACTGTTAGCGGCCCGACACTTATGAAGTTTATACACATCGTTGCTGGGAGAGTCATTGTTCAGATAATTGTGAATAGCGTGACGTTTGCTCGTAGAGTCCTTTCCACGTTTCGAGAGATAGTATTAGCTGTTTTCCCCGATGATCTCCTATGGCGATCTCCACGTAATTCGGCGGATCCACTCTGATGCCGATTTCGAGGAATTTGAATTCCGTGGTTGTCAATGCGTATCGTCTTCCTAGTATACGAACCGCACGAGACTCCAGCGAAACGCTGTAAAAAAAAATTAGGAAAAAGAATTAAAACTAAATTAGGAAAAAAGAAATTATAACTCATAAAAAATATAAAATAAAAATAGAAAAATATAAAATATATAAAATAGAAAAAGTTATACTTACTCGTCGCATTTCTTCTCGCACGTTTCATCACGCGTCTCGGCATGTAGTAATTCATGCGCTGCTTTTTTGGTGCAGATATTTTTTCTTGAGGGTATTAAAAAGTGAACCAACATCAGAACAGTCGAACAAAAGACTATCGTATAAAAGTACTAATACTCGAGTAACACTCATTGTTTACGCGAGATAGTTAGAGGTTTTCAAAGATCCCGGGATTCGCACATGAACTGTATGAAAATCCACGTTTTCACTGGAGACATCAAAATTAACCGAACGATAGGATAGAGGAAAGATAAATATCATTGCTTAAGAAAGATGACAAACTGATTTGATCTTTAAGAGTTTATTGAGAAACACACAATTGAGATGGAGACAAAAACTGAATCCGAGACATATAGCCTTCGCGCGACAACCTTGCTTGATCAGAGAGCTCAGCTCAACTGCCGTTGACGAGGTGTCGAGAGACAAGAATTCCCCGTCGTAAGGGTGAAAAACGGGGAGCAAGGTATGTTTATTTGAGTGCGAATCAGCTGATCGGTAGCTGATCGCCAGCTGATCGGCAGCGAAAAACAACAAGGAATGTCACGGTCGCGGCATCGTAACAATACGAGACTCGAAAATAATATATTTGTCACGCTGAAATAATTGGCTATACAAAGGCGTGATATATAAATACAATGATCGAAAACTTATGCCGAAATATAAGATTGATCGATATGCGATAACTTTTACTTGTCAAACTCCAAACATTCCGCCCGCCTTGGCAACTCCGCGTTGACAATATTTATGGAACGTGAATCTATCGCGAAAATGTCTATGTTTTATTTGGATCCGGCAGCAGGCACAATTTGACAATTGGTCTTTTGAGCGTAGTGTTGGCCGTCTTCACACTGACGACTCTGATAAGTCCGTCAGGCCCGTGATGCACGTCAATGATGCGTGCGAGAGGCCATTTGGTAGGAGGCATCCGTTCGTCCTTGATGAGAACTAAAGACCCAACCTGAAATGAATTTTGCGCTTGGTGCCGCTTAGAGGAGACCTGAAACTGGGACAGATATTCTGCAGTCCAACGCTTCCAGAATGACTCCGTCATCTGGCGGAGTAGCTGCCAGCGCGACAGCCGAGATGCTGGGACATCACCCAGAGAGGGCTCCGGTACAGTGGTGAGCGCTGATCCGATTAGAAAATGCCCTGGCGTGAGCGCTGAAACATCCGTTGGGTCATCCGAGAGAGCGCTTAGAGGGCGAGAGTTGAGAACCGCCTCGATCTGAATTAAGAGCGTGTTCATCTCTTCATAGGTGAGCAGCGTGTCACCTATGACTCGCCTGAGGTGGAATTTGACCGATTTCACTCCAGCTTCCCACTTTCCACCGAAGTGAGGGGCCGAGGGTGGATTAAACTTCCACGTAACTCCATCGTTGGCGAGCTGGGAGGCGATGTGAGTCCATTCTGTCGTTGAGGCTTGAACAGTCGCCTTAATTCGGAATCCGCTCCTATGAGATTGGTGCCGCAGTCGCTTGTGATTGTGGAGCAAATCCCTCTGCGGCCCGTGAACCGTTTGTAGGCGGCGATGAATCCGTCGGTCGAATAATCTGTCGCCACCTCGAGATGCATAGCTGAGGTGCTGAAGCAGATAAAGATTACAAAGTATCCTTTGTAAGTTTTTGCACCTCGTCCGCGAAAGGTCTTGAGTGTTAGAGGTCCGGCATAATCGACCCCGGTATGATAGAAAGGTCGACATGGAGTTGCACGAGAGGCCGGAAGCTGTCCCATTTGTTGAAGCCCGGTAACTGCTCGTTGACGTGTACAGGTTACACATCGATGAATAAATGAGCGAACCGGCAGGCGACCCCGAGAATCCAAAATTTGCGGCGTATAACCGAGAGCATGAGTTGTGGTCCGCCATGTAACGTCTGTTTATGGTAATAATCCATTATGAGGTCCGTCAATCGAGAACTGCGAGGTAAAATCAATGGATGTTTTTCCGCCGGATCCAGCTGAGACAATTGAAGGCGTCCTTGTAGTCGGAGGTGCCCTTTAGTATCGAGAAACGGAGTGAGACGGAACAGTGCGCTGGTTTTCGGCAGCTGCTTACCTCCTCGTAGGAGTCGAATTTCCGTTGAGAAATAAGCATGTTGCGTTAATTCGACCCAAAGAAGGACTGACAATTCTAGCTCCCCTGCAGTAAGAGGGTCTTGCGATACAGGCACAGTCCTTGAAGGTCGGAAGCGTTGGATCGCACGTAGAATCCAGGCGGTAATGCGGGTCAGTCGAGTGAAAGATGAGTATCGTTTTATGAGATCCCACATATCTGGCTCTGGAATCACGATCGCGATGGCGCAATTACGAGCTCGTTCTTCAAGATGTGCGTTGGAATCGAGCGAGAGCTTTGAGACTGGCCACGCGGTCGAGAATTGCTGTAGCCACAGAGGTCCATGCCACCACGACTGATCTTGCTGGAGAAGTTGAGGCGATGTTCCGCGAGACGCCACGTCAGCAGGATTCTCTTTCCCTGAGACGTGATGCCACCGAGAGTTTGAGAGCTCTTGTATGAACACGACACGATTTCGCACGAATTCTTTCCATCTCGATGGATGGCTTTTGATCCATGTTAACGCGACGGTGGAGTCCGTCCAGAGATGCGCTGGCGTTTGAGTTAAATCGAGAATTTCGCGTATTTTGAGAAGCTGTTTCACGAGGAGTACGGCAGCTGATAATTCGAGTCGCGGAATTGTTACGCGTTTAAGCGGAGTCACTTTTGTCTTTGCACTAACGAGAGTCACATGAATGCCGGTGGGAGTCACGACACGGAGATAGATAACTGCGGCAATTGCATGTTGAGAGGCGTCCGAGAAACCATGCAATTCGGTTCCGAGAGCCGTTGAGCTGGTGCCGAACCAACGCGGAATCACAATAGCCGACACCTGTTCGAATTGCTGCATGAATTCGATCCACTGAGATTTGAGAGAACATGGTAATTCGTCATCCCAGTCGAGACGTATTGCCCACAGTTGTTGCATGAATCGCTTGGCCGTGATTATAATCGGTGCGATCCAGCCGAGAGGATCGAAAATCCGCGCGATAAACGAGAGTACCGAGCGTTTAGTGAACGTTTTGTCTGAGCGCGGAAACGAAGGGGCAACAAACACGAAACTGTCACTTGATCGGCTCCAACGAATTCCGAGAGTATAATGCGTCGTGGAGTCGCCGACGGGTAGGATCGCGGAAGGATCCTGATCGCACACGGGAATACCTTGGAGCAATTCCGAAGCGTTTGTAATCCACTTCTTCGGATTGAAGCCACCCGCCGTGAGAGTATCCTTAAGCTGCTGCATCTTTTCTTTCGTTGTAGAGATGTCATCTGACCCGGATAAAATGTCGTCCACGTATGTATCGCGGCGTAGAATTTCGGCAGCCAGTCCGCGTGTGGATTCAATGTCGGTTGCGAGCTGTTGCAGACAGCGAAGTGCAAGATATGGCGCGCAAGCTAGACCGTATGTCACGGTACATAAGAGATATTCTCGCGGCCGTTCACACGGAGAGTCTCTCCAGAAAATCGTCTGAAGTGGCCAATCGTCTGGATGTACGCGAATTTGTCGATACATTTTTTCTATATCGGTCGCGAACACGTAGCGATGTCGACGCCAGCGAACGAGAATGTCAACGAGATCCGTCTGCAATTTCGGGCCGATATGCAAGCAGTCGTTTAATGATATTCCGAGATTTGTTTTCTGCGATCCATTAAACACGACGCGTAATTTCGTGGTCGAGCTTGTTTCTTTAATGACGCCGTGATGCGGCAGAAAGAATTCGCGTCGCGAAATATCATGAGAACTTGAGAGACGCATATGACCAAGTTCAAGATACTCACGTAGGAACTCCTTATAGGCTACCTTGAGAGAAGCGTGCGTTTCGAAGCGCGCTTCCATACGTCGGAGCATCCTGAGTGCTGGAGCGCGAGAATCACCCAAGTCACTTACAGTTTTTCGGAGCGGTAACCGAACGATAAAGCGTCCATGCGCGTCACGAGAATGCGTTGTCTTGAAGTGTTCTTCACACTGAGATTCTTCTGGGGTGAGCGTCACGTTATGCACAGGCGTGATTTCTTCCTGGGCCCAGAATCTTTGGAGCAGATCGAGGAGTTCACCATCAAGAGAGCAGTGCAATCCATTAATTGATTGTTCTGTTGAGGTGTGATCATGCTCAGAGTAGAGTTGTCCGGAGAGTATCCAGCCGAGAGTGGTTTTCTGAGCGATTGGCGTACCGCTAGCTCCTCGGCAAATGCCGTCTTCGAGAATTTGCGCACAAACACCTGCGCCGAGAACGAGATCAATTTTTCCTGGCGTTGCAAAGTTTGGATCTGCAAGCGCCAATCCATGGATATGAGGCCACTGAGCATTCACAATAACTGCAGGTGGCAGATAAGAGGTGAGTTTCGGCAACACAAGAGCTTCGATTTTTAGAGAGAATGCCGAATTGACGCGTGAGATAATTTCAAAAGAGACACGTCCATTGGAGACACTGGATCGCTGAGCACCGATCCCGATAATTGGAATTGCAGCTGAAGTGCGTGAGAGTCTTAAGATTTGTGCGACGGATTCGGAGATAAATGATGCCTCCGATCCTTGATCAAGCAACGCGCGTACTTGATAATGTTCGCCGTATGGTGATACGACGGTAACGAGAGCGGTCGCGAGCAGTACGGACGTACTTCGAATTATACGCGATTGAGTCACATGACTGCATGCTTGAAGCGTTGATTCTTGTCCGTCGGCTTGCGCGAGATGCGTGGAGGTGAGTCCTATGTGCGAGGTCGACGGAATTGAGGCAATCGGCGACATCGTTGTTATCGCGGCTACCGGTTCGTTTGATGAGAGATGTAGCGTTGAGTGATGTTGCTTGCGACAGATACGACAGCGCTTTGCATTACGACAGCTTTTCAGATGATGAGGACCGAGACAGTTATAACAGAGGTTTTTCGATGAAACTGTCTCGCGGCGTTGAGCGGGAGTCTTCTCAAGATATTTCGGACACGCCGAAATATAATGGCTTGAATTGCACAACGCACACTGCTGTTCGGCGGTGGTGGCAGCGTATGATCTTGCGTTTAGTTGAGGTCGTGTCATATTTGTCGCTGGATGTTTACGTGAGGTCGTGGATCTTTCAATAGCTTCGAGAGTATGCACGCGTCCAACGAGAAAGGTTTCTAAGTCGGCGAAGGAAGGCGCGGTAGTTGTCGCACCGAGTGTTTTTTCCCAATCCTTCATTGATTCGGAATCGAGATTGCGCACAGTCATAAAAACGATAAGATGATCCCACTGGCGCACCGGACAGTCGAGAGCTTCGAGACCACCGAGGATTTCCTTAACGTCGCCGAGAAGTCGCTTGAGTTCCGATGATGACTCGGTTTTAAGTTTGCGAATTGCGAATAACGCTGACAATTGAGCATCAATTAGTATTCGCTTATTTTCGTAGCGAGCAATGAGCATTTTCCAGGAGCGGTTGAGATTTTCACTAGAGATAGTCACATTTTTCAAGAGTTGCGATGGCTCCCCTGTCAAGCTCATTTTTAAATAATGTAGTTTCTCGACAGCCGATATATCATTATTTTCCATGATCATGGACGTAAACAATCTCGATAATGACTCCATTGAGCGTAATCACCTGAGAATTTTGGTATGTCGATACGAGGCAGTCGTCGAGAATGAGATGCGGTAGACGTTGTCATTGAGGCCTCGGTCGCGGACGCACTTCTTTCCGGTACGAGCTCATCTAACATGTCAAGCATGATGCCATTCGCATCGATGTATTTCTCTTCGCACAATGCATAGAGGTCGTCAGCGAAATACGGCAGCTTTGCAATGTCGGGGCTCCGCACTTTGCACAAGCTATCATGAAGACCCTGGAATTTCTCCCAATTAGCCTTGAGTGCGCTCACGCGACTTTGCACTGCTCCACGAGTTGTTTTTGTCGGTCCGAGTTTATGAAGATTTTCGACTGCGCGGGAAATCAGACCGAACAATTCATTCTGGCGAGCAATGGTGTTTTCGATTGTTGCCATCTTCGATTGAGTCGGACTAACTTGACTGGAGAGAACACAGCACGTGCGAAAATGCACTTATTTGAGAACGCACGTCGAAAGCGGCAACCGCACTTACGCAAGACTCACGCACAATCGTAATTCCGCAGCCGACTGCTGAGAACCGCTGGTGTGACAGCAACGAGACAATAAGCACGATATTTCACACTCGCGACGTTCGGTAATTTCGGTTACGAGAATTCACTTAATTCGCGAATTCCGAAGATCCGGCTCGAAGGACCAGCAATGTTTACGCGAGATAGTTAGATTTTCAAAGATCCCGGGATTCGCACTTATGAACTGTGTCGTTTATCCACGTTTTAACCGACACATAAGTTAGAACGATCGATGGAAGAGGATCACTGCTTAAGAAAGATGACAAACTGATTTGCTTTTAAGAGTTTATTTGAGAGACACAATTGAGATGTTTCAAAAACTGAATCCGAGACATATAGCCTTCGCGCGACAACCTTGCTTGATCAGAGAGCTCAGCTCAACTGCCGTTGACGAGGTGTCGAGAGACAAGAATTCCCCGTCGTAAGGGTGAAAAACGGGGAGCAAGGTATGTTTATTTGAGTGCGAATCAGCTGATCGGTAGCTGATCGCCAGCTGATCGGCAGCGAAAAACAACAAGGAATGTCACGGTCGCGGCATCGTAACAATACGAGACTCGAAAATATATATTTGTCACGCTGAAATAATTGGCTATACAAAGGCGTGATATATAAATACAATGATCGAAAACTTATGCCGAAATATAAGATTGATCGATATGCGATAACTTTTACTTGTCAAACTCCAAACAGTCATTTTAAAATATTAGGAGAAGGGGATTCCTAGAAATATATATCTGGAGGGGAATAAAGAGAAATATTTAAAATAAGGAGAGGGGATCTTAAAATATAGGAGGAAAGACAAATTATTCTATATATTTGGAAAAAACGAAAGAGATATATTTAACATATTAGGAGAAGGGGTAAACGAATTCTTAGAAATATATATCTGGTAAGGGAGAGAAATAACAAAGAAAATAGTATGTAAACAATATGTTTATTCAAAAAACGGATGATCGTCGGATCCAAGCCTGGATTCTGCGGCCGACCACCAATTAAATAATTTAAATACATTTTGTAACGCGCAATTTTTTACATGTTTATTACATCGTAGAGTATATGTGGGATCTAACTTATTTAATGCAGGTACATCTTCATATATGGCATCCAAGGTCTCAATGGTGAAACCGCTGCTCGCATCGTCCATTATTTCGGCCAGCCATTCTCGCTTTTCGAGTCCTTTTACTACACGAGAGAGGACTCTTCATCGTCTTCTTGCTCATTTATGCCAACGATAGCTGCCGTAATCAAGCGCTGAGCCATGCCGTATGGAACATTTCCATCCTCCCATTGTAAGCTGTGATGATGTTGAGTTAGCCACGAGGCCTGACGCCTTTCCGACTTTATAAGCACGCTCCATGGCAGAGGGCATGCGAAGAAATAGTGCGACAGGATATATCCTCTTCTCAGGATTGCCGCTTCCTTTACGATAAATCGTTTGTTAGTATAAATCCTTGCAGATCGACAAACGTTGGTGCAGACATGATCTCTTCGATGCGAGTCAGTCGAGAGGTATTACTTCACTCATCAGACATCTCACATCATCTTGATTATGTATCCTCCTCCCCCTCTTTCACACGCGTATTTGTGTAAACATTTTTTAGGTGATTTTGCGCACAACGTTGGTCAACGGGTTGTACTGGATCACACGATCGTGCATGATGAGGCAGTACGCAGTGGTATTATTAGGTATTCTCCTTACACTCAAATTCCAATCTCACATCCACCGTTGCGCTCTTGACCGATTCGTTTTGTCGAGAACAATCGATAATCACAAACGGACCGTTTTGTAAAAACCGTGTGATGGTGAGGCTCGGCTCGAGATACTCGTATCCGTAATAATTTTTGCAGAAACGCGCATACGTGTCATACAGAATCGACCATCTGTTTCTATCGAAATCCAGATTCATATCGTCGTACGGATAACATTCCGAGTTCAGATAGAGTTTCACGTTGGTTAATTTACAGTCGTCGAATCGACTCGTATCCTCGGACATGACATTTTTACGCCCTGTCTGCAGAGCAAAAATTACATATCGCGGCTTCTCCAGTTGAGTCGCGGTCTTAATGGCCCACGAATGCTTGGTCGTACGCTGCAATAGCGGAAATTCGTATAGATCCCACGAGCGGAAACCCATGCTGAGGTAACGTCCGCTTTCCAGAGCGCGCAGCATCGACAGCTTCTTAATCTCGCTCAACAACACGTGTGGCATTCGCCATTGTATCTTGAATATGTTGATCACAGGCTCCAGTGCAGAATTTCCATACAGGCAATTATTGTCGTTGCGCGATCGTATTAGGATCAACTCATGACGCGCATTAATAACAACGCGTTTGTAATCCTCGCAAAATCCCAGCAACATGTGCAGCGGCACGCAAAAATTAAAGTATCCATTCACAGTAGTCGGGCTATCCCAGCCTGCATTTCGCATAATCACGCTTCTATCGGATGACATTGTTACATAGTTTTTCAGCAGACTTGTTATTCCCACATTCCTGTTGCGATCAATCTCCACACCATCGAGCTCATAGCGAATTTCGTCAAACATGAATGCGACGCAATTATTTCCCAGCATCACATTGGATCCCTCAATGGATGGTTTATCTTTAGTTCTCCCTCGATATATAAGAAACTCTCATACGGCAATGTATATAAATCCTGTTGTTGTATGGGTATTCTTATCTCGTCGCTGTATCCAAATGTTGTGTTGGCAAACGGGTTGTATGTGTGAGTCTCAATCTTGACGATGCGATCGTCAAAGACTGGCTCTTCCTCGATGTTGAGAATCTCAGTCATTGTTCAGATGGCGCGCACCGCAAATCCCAAAGATTGTAAAAACGCAACGTTTGACGAGGTGAGTCTCTTCTTCGTAGTTGATTTGATATTAGCGAATGATGTTGCTGCTGGTCTGATTGTGTTCTTCGTGTCTTTATTCAACACGAGCATCCCGTCGCACGAGGGTGGCCCGCCGTCGTACGTGCAATCTAATTGTTATCTCTTCACCTCGAAAATCGAGCAATCGTCCCTCCTGATCAGTAACGCGTAACACTAAATCAGTAATGCTCCGTACGAAGACCGGCAGGTAAATGATCTGCGCCGGCGTTTCCGATATCTTATATCCTGGTGGTACCCTCGGTGAAAATTCATGTATCGTGTGAACGAGTTTATCGTTGCAGTATGCACCCGCGGTCACGTTACACTCTATGCGGATAATGTTCACGTTGATAATATTAATCGCCATGTTCGATTTGTGCCATTTTCGCGGTTGCAGTATACGATTCGAGAATCCCAGCAGCGATCCAATGTTGTTGGGCATGCTAAAGTTTATTCTGTAGGCACACTTGATCTCGCTTCTCATCGTATTGTAATTAGCGCGGAGCACGATTGGGTAATCTTCATCGTCGACACCTTTATCGCTAACAGCATTATGTTTTCGGGAAAGTGCGCGTTTCAAAAATTCATGTATCGCTTGCAGCTCGTACGATCCCTCGGGAATCGTAATTTCCGCGTCGTCTTTGCCGTAGTAAAATTTATTATTCGAGGAATTCACATTCGATATAGTGTGATAAGTTTCAAAATCCGTCAGACCGAGCTCGTAGTCCGCGTCGCTCAAATCTATGGGCGGAAAGTAGGTCGCCGCGAGAACGCTACTCTTCCCAGTCAATGTTAGTGTTAGCGACATGTTGACAAAACTGAGTTAAATAACGCAATGTCAGTCTTTAAATTCGCTGCGTTGAACTAAATTCAATCTCTCGGAGAAACTGCAAGCACAACTGTCCGCAGATACTCTGATCATACGTTTGATAAGAGGTGTAATTGTATTCCAATTTCGGCACATTTAAATATCGCACCAATTCCTCGGGTGGTCGAAGATTGCCAAAACTGTCGAAATAGATTGCGCGATTTCCTCTTTTAGCATACGCCACCCAATGAGTGCCAGGACCGTCTGTACTGTCTAGATTAACGATACCACTCTCATTTTCTCGCGCGCCATTTATCGGTAAATTATTGCGCATAAATACACCTCTAAAGTATGGAATGTGCATACGTTTTGCAAGTTGTAGCAATTGCACATTTGTAGTTACACCTTTCGGCATTTTTAACGTTTTTTTGACGTTTTTTTTTTTCTTCGCTCCTCGTCCATATTTGTAAGGGGCGAGATACAGTCCGCGGCCTTCCATGGCGCGATTGTGGCGTAGTATCTCTTGCAACTGACGTTGCGCGGCTTTTCTGTCGTTTACCGCTTTTGCTACGCCAGCCGCTCCGCCAACCAGGGATCCGAGCGCGCCCAGCATTGGTAAAATCGGCAAAAATCCGCCTCGTTTCGCTGCCGAAAGTACCCTCTTCTTCGTCTTCCTCTTTTCGTTTTCAAGCCCATGCCGAGCTTCGTCTTGGCCTTCATCGCTGTCCAGACAACTGCGG